TCCCCACAGTTGCTAACTTAGCAAGTACTTTTCTTTAGGGCCCCCTCTTCACGAGCAATATGTCTGACCTGTACTATAAGATCTTTCTGATAATGCATTTGGAGTTTTTTCTTTGTTTTTTCTTTTTTTTCTTTTGGTAGATTGGTAGAAGTGCATTCCTGTTTTCACCTTACTTTACTCAAAGCTAATAAGTGCTTTCCTTAGTTTTCTAGTAATTAGGTGTAAAAATCATGTGTTGCAGCTTTATAGTTTTTAAACTATTTTAGATATTCTTAAACTATGAACCTTCTAAACATCACTGTCTTGCCGGAGTACCAACACTGTCACGTGACTAATGCTGCCCCTCTAGACCTCACCCACGTGGACACGTGCTTCCCGTCGTGGCTCTGCCTAGAGCTGTTCCTTTGGGTCTGTGAGGTTCTGTCAACTGCTAGTGCTAGCGCTGTTGTGTGCAACCTGACTCACTGGCAAGAACACAGTGTTGGCCTTCCAACCACTAGAACAAACTTTTCAATTGACAGTTGCAGAATTGTGGAGTGTTTTTACATTGATCTTTTGCTAATGCAGTTAGCAGTATGTTTTGCATGTATGACTTAATAAATCCTTGAATCAGACAACTGGTCATGCTTGTGTTTTTGGAACCTGACAAACAAGCTCTTGGCGTGTTTGCCTCACTTTAAACTCCTGGATTGTTGGCTGTGTGCTTCTCAGACTGGGGTGGAGGGAGTGCCACCTCCAGGGAAAAGGTAGGTGACTCCACAGCCACACAATGCAGTGGGGGTGGCCTTCATGTTCAGTCTTGTTGAGCCTGAGGTGCCCACGTGAAGTTGCCCACAGTGGGGTGTGTTTGCATGAGCACATCCCTGTGAGAGATTTGCCAGAATTGAGTGCTTAACATGGGGAAGCTGGGTTGTGGAACTAGGCAGGGTAGACCATGTGATCCTCGGGGAACCCGAACATGCACTGTTAATGCAGCCAGTTAGAATTGGCTTTCACTGGCGATTCTTGTACTTTGAACCTTTAAAAGTTACAGTATTTGTGTGAGTATGAACGTGGCACAGCACGTGTGGGCAGAGGACAGCCTTCAGGAGTTGTGCCCTTTCCACCCAGGGACTCAACTCGGGCTGGCAGGCTCGGTAGCGGGTACCCTTACCTACTGAACCATCTTTTCTGGTCCCAGACCAAGCTACCTTCCTTCCTTCTTGAGAGTGTCGCACTATGTAGTGTTGGCTGCCTCTGCCTCCCTAGTGCTGTGTGATTAAGGGACTGTGCCACCGCACCCAGCTCCAAACCTTTTTTAACCAGAGTTAAAGGGGCAGTTTAGAAACACAGCAGTAAATGCTTATTATAAGGACATGAGCTCTGCCTGACCCATTCCAGAGGCAGGACTTCATCCTTTTTTTTAAAGATTTATGAGTGCTTGCTCAAATGTCCTTATCACTAGTGCCACAGGGGTCAGAAGGCGGCTTTGAATCTCCTGGGACTAAAGATACAGGTGGTTGTGAGCTGCCATGTGGAGCTGGGGACCAACTGTGGGTCCTCTGCCAAGAGCAAGTGCTTTTAGCTGTTCTGGATCTCACTCTGTAAAGCAGGCTGATGTAGAATGCAAAGATCTGCCGGTGGCTGTCTCCTGAATGATGGAATTAAAAGGTATGTGACATATCTGGCTGTTTCCCAAGCCTAAATCCAATAAGGAAGGATGTGAGGCACGAGGTCTCCCCAGTGGCCCCAGCACCATCATCTTCATTCTCCAAACATTTGAGTGTCCAGCAGACATAATTTTATACCTACATACACTTGAGGCTGTATCCAGTGATAACAGAAGTTGGCTTCACCCACACTTCGGTTTCCTTAGGGTAATT